ATCTGCAAGCACAATGACCTTTTTCTTGAGTGGTTCGGCAAATTGACTTAGACGTAACCTCGCCACTGAAAGACAAACACCAAGATACCCAAGAGGATAAGGCCCCATGTTGTTCTGGTCAAAATTTGACTGCAGTCAGGATGACGTCGTGGAGGCCGATCCAGATGGAACTTTTGCAATTTCGTACTCTTTTTTGTCATATCAACAAAACACTGTTGCTCAAGGTTCTTAACCCCTTTTTTGATTGATTTAGCTCTCCTTGTTGTCGTGGCGTCTTTCCTGCTGGGTAGACATAGTAGCGGTTCGCGGTGTAATATCGAAGCTTCGCGATTCTTGGTTTTCTAGACGAGTGAGGTATTTATCTTATCTAACTTTGATATTTTCAAGTTTATTTCTGCGAAAGACGTCTAACCGTAGTCAAACGGAATTATCCAAAGCTCAATAATTTAACATTTACCTATTTCCAGAACAATCGATATTTTTAGGATCGCCATTTTGATATCATCAGGGTACTATATTCCCTGTATAGAAGTTGAATTTGCGAAGTTATTTTGACTTACTATACCTCTCTCTTATGCATTTACTTGACCGTTTCAAGGAGGGACCAAGCGAGCCAAATAAGAAATCAATCGCACTTGAAAAATAAAGCAACTATGTGCATTCACACTTGAGACAAAAGCATCTGTTAGTAGATCGTGTTTAAGTAACGAGTCATTTTAATGAGCAAGTGAATAAAACCGTAATATAGTTCCTTAGCATCATTGCTGTTCTCTAAGCGCCTGAACAGACGCGGATCCATTAACAGGTAACATTCAAGGATATTTCGTTGCGCTACTACCTTAACGTAGAACTTTATGCACCTTGTAATCTTTTTAGACCTTTAAAGTTTGTCAACTTCCTCAAATTAAATTTGCTTTTATTAAAGTGTTTTGGTATGCAGGCGAATAATAAATTTTGATATGTGGGATTAGAGATTATAATATGGGTTTCTGTTGCAGTTCTTGATCTTTAGTATTTCTAAGACAGTTAAAGGAATATGTATTCGTAAATGTGTTTGTCATGTAGCAAAAATTCTCATTTGTCCAGTAAATATTAGGCCAAGCGAATTATCCTCTGCCATAGTAACCATTTTTTCTAGAGTAATGAAAATACATCGAAGGAACGTTGTCACCTCTCTTTACTAACACCCTAGCCACTGAATTCTTTCTGATGACCTGTTAAACGGTGGCTATTGAGTGTCCTAGAAGGTAACGGCAGTAGTGGGAGATAAGAGTTAACAAAAACGAAAAAATGAATGATAAATTAAGACTAATTGGCATTAGTCAAGTGAGATATAGTCTGCTACCCATGTTAAATCAATTTATCTAACTTTAAAACACACTGACTCCTCTCTGAATATGTCCTAGCGAGATCAAATGTATGCATGGACTCTATCGTAATCATTTTTAAACAAGATTTTTATTTCCTCGATTCAAAATAAGGCTAATGACATGTTAAGATTAGCACATCTAAAAACAACGTATTCAGTTCATTTGGCTACATGATTACGAGACCGTGCAATTTGGTAGAAAAGGCAAGCTAGCGGCCATCTGTTTTTTGCGGTCTAATGCCAGATACGTATTTAGTGAATATGAATAAAGTAATAATTCTAAGCACAGTGACCAAAATATCGAGCACTTCTTCAACGAATTCGGGTGCCTCCGCTATTGGAACTATTCATGCAGAAAGAAGGTATTAAAACCGGGTACTGAGAAGGCCAAAATTTTAGGACGGGACCTACCTCACTTAGATGTGGGCTTCGTACTTTTTCAGAATGATAAGATATTTTCGCAGTTTTTCAAGGATGTCGAACACATTCTGTCCAGTCCTAACAACCAATGACATTGCTAAGAGTGTGAGTACGAATATCATTAGATAGCATTAGGTTTGGTTACTCTCAAACCGGTCCCTAAATTTCCTAATATAATTGCTATAGTTTTAGATAATGATACGTCCAGCAGGCAATTTTAGTTGTTCAATATCATGTATGGTCAGATGGGGAAAACCAGAAATGGTGACATTGGGAGACAACTATACTTACTGAAGATCCATAGTACCAAAACGCGTGTGTAGCGACGGCCACCTTGACCTTAGCCACGCGAGTAAGATGTGAAGCTAACCAGAGACATGCACGTATGAGAAGTAGTATACAACGAGCGGCGCTGCCGGCGTGGAGGATTCGGATGAATGTCGCTTGACATGAGGTTCTGACTTGTGATTTGTCAATACTGCCTGTTATGTTGTACCAGTGCTCTTTATACTAGGACTCGGGTATTCTACATTGATGGAAACGGATGCGTTTGAATAACGCGAATCCAACCCCAACCCTTTCCCTAAAATGGACAACAGAGGCAATACCCTTAAATGCCAGCTGAAGTTGTTATGGCGGGTCATTTGATGTCCCATACACTGGATTCATGGACATAGCCCGTGATTAGGACTACTGTATCTAAACAGGCATTGGCAACTCAGTGACGACGACAAGGACTGTAGAAGTCAGTCTGACTGCAAGTGGAGAAGGAACCTGTGATGGATGAAACGGACCTCCTTCAAGTCAACAAGAGCAAAGTCCTTCGCCTACTAATCGCTTAGGCCACTATCATGCCATATGTGGGATGACTAGGGGGTGTAAATCTTCATCAATCTCCGACAGTGTGGGGAATAAAGCCAAAATCTGAGGACAGTTTCCTTCCTGAGGGTGAGGTAGTGTAGCGGAATGGCAGAAAGCCGCCATGTTGGTGTTCAGTCATCGGTCGAAGGTGAATGGCACGGCATAATGGCAACGTCATATGACCGAGGGCGTGACTTCTGGCCGCGTGCCATCACGCGGGCATTAAATGACGCGCCGGAGGCTGGGAGCTAATCCACTCACGAGTTTTCCGTCTCAAACTGGAGACAGGACGACCAGGACAAGGCTAAATAAATGCCCTGTTTTACCTTATAAAACTGGCCAGATTTTGACTGAATCTCGTCTCCATTAAAGAACTCCATATTGTCTTGCTCTCTTCTTGTTCCTGCCATGGAACCAAAACGCACAGCAGTTTAGCGACGTATAAGGGCGCAGAATTATTGGACCACACCACGCTCAACCAATTCTCTGTCTTTTCGCGTTCCACTTTCATGGGAGAAAAGTATTCAGCCAACCAGAAACAGGCATATAACGAGCGACAAAACCAGCGTGGGGGACTCTAATGGACGGCGCCTGACACATCGTTCCGGCTTGCGATTCGTCAATAAAGTCTGTTTCATTTTCCCAATTTTCTTCATACTATGGCTTGGGCAATGTACACGCAAGACGTCAGCCCTGATAGCTGTGAAGTCGTAGTGTTCTAATAGGATGGAGTTAGTATTATAAAAGTGGTTTAAAGACCCTTACATGCAGACAAAATTTTCATCAGAACTTGGCGGGATGGAAATGCGCTACGAACCAATAAGTATTCTATTTTGATCGTTTTAATATTTCAAATTTTTTTTAATTTGTAATATTTTTTCACAAAAAAATGACCTATGTAACTAAAAAATAGGAGACCTTTATCAGCATTGTAAATAATAATTTCATTCATTTGTATCATTGATTTCATTGGATTATGTGTAAATGTGGCGAATATCTGACGGGTCGAATTTTTCCACTGTCACGTGTTTTTATTTCTCAAATACTATTTATTGTAACTACGTTTTTGTCAAATTTCTTGAATTAATTCAATATTATCTGTTTGGCGCTGTATCGTTCAGTACGCCCTTTTAAAATCGGGTAAACGGTTCTGATTTACTTCCAACATTGAGTTTTGGTGGTGTTTTGATGCTTTCGTCCATTGTGAATGTTAGTCCACTGCAAACGTTACGCTGAGTTGGGCAATTATGGCTATTATTTAAGGTTCTAAAAGGATTTTTGTATTCGATAATGGCAATCCTCTTATAATCATTTTGTTCTTTTTTTCCCATTTTCAATCACTTATCCTTGAATTAAAATATGAAATATTTGATCAGTGCTAATGGAATGTCAAGTTTCTTTGTGACGCTTAATACAAATTCGTTGAGAGGGTCGTGTGAGGTCATAGTCTCAACCTTGTGCTGTTTAATATGCTAATGACTTATTTGCAATTAATCAAATGATTTGGTTGTTCCATCAAAGACCCTGAACTCTCTTTGCTGCTAGTGCTTGCCTCTCCACGGTAGAACTAAACGCGAATTGTGTAATTTACAATTATTCTTGAATTTGCGCTAAGATTAACAATGACAGCAGGATCTTGAGTTTCTGGCTTCGTTTCACCAGTTTTTGCTTTAACTATTTGCGCTCCTGGTTGCATATTGGTCTGTGCAACAGGACTCCGCTGCTTGTGCCGTTGTATCTACTTTTAGCGTTTCGAATTTTTTTTCTGTCAGATAATGACGAAGAAACGTTCAGCGTCCTTGGTTGCCAGTGAAAGCCCATGTAAGCGACAGAAAACCTCCAATCTGTCTCTGTTGACTACTGATCCTACGGGTAGGTATTTTTTGTCGTTAATTCAGTTCCATTTTAAGGATTGGCTGTGTTTCTTAAGAAAATTGAAGAAGACGAAGGAGACATTGTCAGTGAATACTTGTCTGAGTCCAACGGTGCCGAACTACTTGTGCTCCTTGAGAGTGGCTACGATCGGAAAGCCAACGAAGTAGGTCTTCGTTTTAGCATTTTTATTTAAAGAAGCCTCCAAAATGATTATTTTGTTACATTTAAATCTTATTTGTGGGATATACATCGCCTTGTTATTGATGGTCGTTTGTAGATTTAGTTAAAAATCAACGTAGCTCTGATATTGTGCTTGCAACTTAAGTCTTTTTGTAAACAGTGTGCTTTAGTATCGACCCTTTATTGCCTCTATTCTAGTTTTAGGGTCGTTAACTTTTTTAGGGTTCGTTAGTTATTTTTCAAATGAAATTTTATAGAATCATTATAGGGTCGGCGCATGATAGAGCTATTAAAATTGCACTAGTGATTCTCATCTCTATGTTTCTTTTTTTGCAGTTAGCGGTTATCCTTCGTGTTATTGCCACTATCATTGTGCGCACTCGAACTGATTTGTCTGAATTGTATGGTGACACAGGACGAAGGCTTGCCGAAGGTGTTCTCGAGGAGGCTCCCTTAGCGGCCTGTTTTCGTGCACTTAAGCCACAGAGCAGTGCAGAGGCTGCTAAGGCCTCGCTTCAACTCCTTGCTGCCGTGGTGTCCACAGACCCTGTTCTGCTTGGCCGGAGCCTCCTGAGAAGCGTCAATTTCGACCACCCCGATTGGGTTCAAGTGTCTCGGCGGAGGAATACCAAAGACCCATCTGACGTGCGAACTTGTTTCGTGAATTTTATAGCTTCCTTTCTTGTGTCGGGCAATAACCTTCTCATTCGGGAGCTGCTAGAATCCAAAAGTAATTGCTCGATAAACCATAAAGACTTACGCTATTGTGGGTTAATTTAACGCAGCTTAAATTAGTCTTTACCCGGGCTTGAGTTTCGAAAGGGAATTTATTGTTTGAGATCCTACCCTTGGGGTTGCTTGCTAAGGCCGTGATTTTAAATCACTTGGGATTTCCACCTTATGGGTGCATGGTAATCTTTACCGATGTAATGCCCCATCTGTCTTGCACCGTTTTGTATAACTTGGTCCTCTCTGCTCCTAGATGCCATCATGCTACTGATTTCTGAGTCCTTCACGGATAAGCTTCAGAATGTGCTGCTTATTCTCACGCTGCTGAGGACTAGTGTTTGCGAGAACCCCACAGTCAGCAAGACCATCAAAATGCGTATATTTAACAGGGCAACATTGAAACAATTGGCCTACCTTTACGCATATCGTGGTGAAGCCCTCTCTGCGAAGGCTGCTTTGGCAAGAAGCGACGCCGATATTGACGCGCAGGCGGTGGAGATGGTGAGGGACACGCTTCACAAACTACTCCACCCCCTTACCTCTTCTCCCCTATTTGGGATTGTTTTTCGAGAACGGGCGTCAGTTGAAGGCAGGTTGGTCTTTTTATCGATTTTGCTTTCTCTTGATGTCTCTGGTAGAATGCATCCAACATTTGTCTGGGGCGTCCTACTGACAGGCCGCTTGATGTATGCTTAATGAGCTCTGTGCTGGATGTATGGCTGCCAGTGTTTTTTATAAAGACTGTTGGACGTAAATTCCGTCAGGCTTTGGGATGTTGGTAGTACTTCTGTTCAATTTTGCCACCGATTTCAGTTCAAACTCCTCCAACACATTACTGGCTTTTAACGACATGAATCCCTTCAGAAAACGTACCTTGTTAGGTTTAGAATCCTCTAGACCTGATTTACCGATAATGCGCTGCTGAGGTATCAAGCGTGACCTTTTCCGAGCATATTTGTGCCCCATATTGTAGTACTTTATTGAGAAAGTGGATAGATTCATGTCAATCGGCTGGCGATATTCGGAGAGACAACTTTCAAATTCTTTCACCAAGGACACAATTTGCACTTTAAAACTAATTGTCTGCACTGTAACGCAGAATGTTTTCAAATATCACAAATCGCTGCAACTAATAGAACGTCGACTTTCTACATATGAATTTGAACTGATCCAAACACGAAGGAAGATCACGCACCATTCACGCCATTCGAGGTGGGTGGAGCATTTCCGACATCTTGACCTGCATTACCTTGGACGCCGGTATCAACCTCTCACTTAGTGAAACCTGGGAGGTGCAATGAATTCTTTTTTTCCACCAGGGCGTTTGTATGACTCAGTTTTGTTCAGGTGGCAAAACGGCGCTTTTCTGCGTGGAATTATCATTATCTTCCGTTTCACAGTAAACAAAACGAACACTTGCTCTCTCTGCTTCTCTCTCCACCAATGGAAAACGCGTTTACCGATGATCTGCGACGTGAGCTTGCCTCGGATTGTCTGCTTGCCTGTCCGGCCCTGCTGCCCGCTTACCTGGCGCACTGGGCACCGTCGATGGTACCGCGTGACTCCGATAATTGGCATGACCTGATGGGCTTTGTAAATCAAGTCAGTGATGCCTCCTTTTTTATTAATCAAGTGCATGCGCACCGTGTGTGGGTTTTTGTTGAGTCGTATTGTTCGTTTACTCGATCTCAGGTTAGAAATTGATTAGTTTTTAAAGATGAATCAACGTTTTTCGTAACGAATCATGCAGTATACAATCTTACAAAAAGCTTCTCTTTCATGCAAATGACTTAATTTCAATTCATAAGCATGATTGACAACAGCTTCATCTAGGTTCTAATCGCAACGTTTGGCGTTGATTTCTTCGTTGCCGCGGCTAGGACTCTCAGTTCCACAAACATGTCCAAAGCATATTTCTCATTACAGCTCTTCACATTGTTTCAAAAACGACTGGTTAGTCGAGCATCACAGTTGCTCGAACTGTCGCAGGACATGGGCCAATTTGTTCAAGGCATATCCGATGTCTGTTTGCCGCCGGCTTGCATTGTGGAGCCTCTCCGCGTGGCCTCCCAGGTAAGTTGGCAGACCCGCTGCATTTCTATTCAAAAGGCCCGGTGCCTCCTCAAGTAATCGCCTCCTATTTTGCCATCGTCAGCATGAAAGTTCGGCGGTCGTGAAGACCTCAGCTGCCATTCACAAGACCCTCCGCAAAAACCTCTCACTCCTCTTGACTTGGCTCAGTACCACGGATGAGCTGAAGGCGAAAGGCGCTACCGCAGAGGCAGTAGTTTCTGCGATCCTCAAGCTTCTCCCAGAGAGGGTTTTGGCAGAAAAGTGGTTTCATCGATTTTCAAAAACACTGAAAAAAGAACATACTGACGTTCAAGTTTTGAACGACCAAGTCCTCATGCATGCCGAAGCCGACGACGAACCTGAAGAACAGCCAGAAGGTTACGGTATAATTCCATTTACACCGATTTTTTAGAATCGGATAAAAGGGACGAGCCACCATCTCCTGAGGAGGAGTTAGCGGCCCTGCCTAAAAGCATGTTTCAGTTCATCTAACTACCACTTTAGAGTTCCAATCAAGGTTAAAAACTCTGCTAATGTTGTCTCTTGACCCCGCTGCGAAAATAACAGAAAAGGAGGAAAAAAAGTTGGTCAAAATGTGGCCCGAATTGGCTCCAGGTTGTCTTCAGTACGTTGCTGCACATGTGGTTATCGAGGCTTTAGAAATTACTGGCAAAAAGCTACTGTTTACGATTGCATCGCAGCAGGAGTACGACTGTTTTCCCGGGCCGATGCGAAAGTTGGGTGGGGAAGGACTGAAAAGTCCCACAAAGACGGAAGTCTTTCACCCAGTCCTAAAAAACTTATTAAACTAATTTCGAAGAACCCAGTGTTCAGGTCGATTCTTTTTGAGAAGGTCCTTGGACGTCCGGCTGAGGAGCTCTCGTCTCTTTCGCTGTCACGCACAAAGGGTACGCGTTGTGTTTGTTTGCGTGTGTACGTCTGAAATCACAGCCAGATGCGATTGTTAACGTGTCATTGTTTTCTTAGCCGGGTTGGTGAATTTACTGTTGGCCCTTGTGGAGGCGGAGCCGATTGTCGCCGCCAAAAAGATCCCCCTTGTCGCCCTCCTGGCGGCCTATCGAGGCAGCCTTTCGCTGTGTGGTAAGTCACTTGTCCAGGTCCATCTCACTCCGCTTACACGACGGCTAAACCAACCCTGATGTCGTCTACTCTAAGTAGATTTCGTGCATAGTGCCCTAACTTTGTAGATGTCACTCCGGTGGTTCTGTTACACCATCCAGTGTTGGAGTTGGTTAGTTTCTTTGTGTCTTTTCTGTAGATCGACTTCTTCTGCAGCTGATCTATCTACTTGACATAAACGGGACTACCGTATCAAGCATTTGGTAATATTCCTCTACAGTTTTATATTTCGCATCCAATCGCCAGTCCCTCCCTCCATTGTGTTTGTTTTTAAAGGGGCATGTCCAGTAAGGCCGTGGTTTGGGGTGACCGCCTGTTTGACCACTACCGTTTCGCCACAACCCTCAGCGAGATACCAACGTTGTGGCGTGAGCCAAACCCCGGGGCGTTTTTGAGCATGCTGGACAAGGATCGAGTTCTTCGTACAGCGGTCGCATTTCCTGTAACCCGACGGTGTTTGGTAGGTTGCATATCGGAGAAAGACAGTCTTATCTTAATGTTCCTTTCCTTTCCCTTTACTTTTGCCCCCACAAAGTTCTTTTGCATTTCCTTTTCTATTAATCTGTGCAGTTTACATGCTAATTTTTGGATTACCTTGGTTGTTAAAACTGAGCGCCCACATCGTGAGGCCTTGCTTTGGACGTTAAGTAAATCGCAGGTATCGCCTCGATGCTTGGCGGCTTCTAAGTTCTAGATCGTGGTCAACGCTTGCAGCGGTTAGGTAACCAGTCTTGCTCGTGCACGAGGGTGGATGGAATGCCAGCAGAAAAGGTTCAACAATAAGTTCCTTTTTAGGCCCGGTCGTCGATGGGTGTTGAGAACATCCCGCTGGATGCTGACCTCTACGACCCGTGCTTCTTGCTCCCACTCTTCCTGCAGTATCTCTCACCGGGTAAGGCCGCTGCCACTGTGTATATTTCAACGCTGCCAACGTCACTCAACTGATTTTGTCCTTTCGAATCTTCTTTTTCGTTTTGGCGTTTGAACAGATCACCCCAGTAATGCAGAGGAATCCAATTCGAAGCACATATCCTGGCCAGACTAGTGGAATCCAGTTAGTTGCGCAACCACGCACAGACGACTTCAAAGCTTGTTTGGTTTTTCATCACTTAAATCACACTGATTTGGGTTTGTCTTAAGACACCATCAAGGCTGTAACTGTACCTCGCTGTTGCATCTTAAGGAGATGCTAATGAGCAAATGAACCCCGAGAAGTTGGATCTTCGTGGATTTTACACCCGCAATTGCCTATCACTCGCAATTGGCGCGCTGTCCAGCTACTCGCGTCACATTCGTGGACTGGCAAAGTCTGTTATTGCACGGTTTCGACAGCTCTCCGACGCTTGGAAGCCAACCAAAGTCCCCAACACGCCAATGGCCCTGGCAGTCATGAAACAATTTCCAGAACGCCTGCAGGTACATTTGAGAGAGTCGTTAGTACGCTAAAATCATTCGCATTTATTGGTTGCAGTTGTGCAAAGTTCTTTCGGGCTGTTGTTTGTTGGGGAACTAGCTGTAAAAACTTATCCTCCAAGTCTCCATCCGAGGCTCCCAAATCCTTCGAAATGCCATGGGTGTCAGTTAAACATAAGTGAGATTGCAGGAGTTGTCAATGCTGACCAAAATCAAGCAATATTTTATGGCTTTTGTGTCCTGAATCATAGGGCTAGGGTCATGCATGGAAGGAGCCTCTTGTGGGTATATCATGACACTGCTAGATCGCATCTCTTTAGCAATCATTTTAAGAACACAGTTTACCTTTCATGGTAATTGTGAGCAAAAATAAGCCACGAAATGTAGCCATTTCTTCACGTGTTTTTGTTTCTAGCTCAATTTCATTCTCGACACCCTGCGCAACAGCCTGAGCACGAAGGCCAGTGAGTTGGGCGGCGGGCCACGGTGTGTGGTGTTGTTTGGGTCAAAAGCGGACACCTCGTTCCGCCTCACGCGGATTCACGCCAATTTCTTCATTCAGTCCCTGGAAATGCTCACAAAACCAGGTGAGTCGCCGTTTCCAGGGGGTACAACCTTCAGATTTCCCATTCACCGTCAGTTTGCTTATCACTTTTGCTACGATTACTCCTGTCCGGAGTACGAATCTTCCTTGTATCAGAATTGTCAAGGTCACTAGTACTTCTGATCAATCAAAGCAGAAGACAAAATCTTACTATTTCTTTACTATAAAATGTTGATTTTGAAATTTTTTTGTTCCTTGTAGAACATCGGATGTATGAAGTGTTTTGGAACACTTATCTTGCAAAGCCCTCCATCGATTTGGGAACCGTTCCGGACTTTATTCGGATCATGTTTTCCGTTCATGAAGACGTAAGTCTCTCCCCAGTGTGCAATGATCTCTGACTTGTGAGCCAATGAATGCTTTAAAAACCATTCACTGCCCACAATCCGAGACAACCGTCATTCACCGTTCCTGGGGCAGAAGAGATCAATAATTGTGCATTTATAATATCAGTGATTGGTTACACGCTTACAGGACTTCCCTGTTTGATTTTTAGCAAAGGAAATCTATATGAAGCCAAAACAAAACTATCTGACATACTAAGGGTACTCCTCCATCGTAAAAAAGTTTGCGTTTGAAAAATCTTTTCGGAATGTATGCAGCTGTTCCGAACTCAGAACTCGGAGAGCACTCTTGCCAAGTGCGCCTCTGCCTATGCCTTGTGCCACAAAAACGCCATGTCTTTTTTACCATGTAGCAATAGCGCACGGTACCTCCTACTGTCAAAATACCGGATTTAATGTCCAAAATTTACCCTTTGTTTTGCAGTTCCGAGTGGAACGCCAGTGGATGGTTAAACTGTGCGCGGACAGTGTTAACGACACGTCGGATTACTTGCTCCTTGAGAAATCACGGGTCTACAAGTACTGCCTCCTGCTCTACGCCGACCCCGCTACCGATACCACAACCCAGGTTAGATGTGTTCAATCTAGATATGACACGTTTGGGGGAAGGCGCGAATGCTGTTTGTCACATTGTTTCAACTCTTGGGACCTCATCAGCAAGTCCTTGGTCGTAAAATGCCAGACCGATCTGAAATGGGTCCCAGCCTCGGTCTGCGGGTTGGTCAGGCGATCACGGCACCTCCGATTGGCTGTTGATAAGCAGCTTTGGAGTGGTTCGCCCTTATATTGTGGCTGCCGTGTCTATACCAACTCACAGCCCACCTTAACAGTAAAGTGGGACATTTTTGATGAGCGAATTAGTCCGTAAGAGAATTCTGTACAACTGGATTGGGAGTGGTGTAAGACGGAATCACAGGCTTTGGTGTGAGGTATGTGCTTGGCAGTGTTGAAGGTATGCTCTTTCTACACTTATCCTATTAAAAAATAACCAGTAATGCTAATAAATCATGTAAACATTTTGCATTTGGACGGTAATGACTGGTGATTATGAAAAAAAAAAGGAATTTTGAATGTGCATGCTCTACGTGCTGTGCGTAGCCTCCAGGTTAGCAAGGTTACTTGTCATGGAGGTGTTGTAAATTCGGCTTGTTTGTTCCTCGCCAAGTGAACATCATCGTACTCGCGTATTTCAGATTCAAATTCTGCGCCTTTTTGCAGCGACCACGAGGCTACCACGGGCGTGTCATGCGCTAACCCGTTTTCACGCCTTCCCACTGTGGCTATTTCGACATGCCCTGTCAACGACGTGAGTTCCCGACTTTGTAACAGCCTTTTTATAATTATTTTCGGTTAACTCTCTCTCTCACACACACACACACATTTATTAAGGCATGCTCCTTCCTTGTGCTACTTCCTCACAATCATCTCACAAATGCTGGCGGCATTTGAAGATGCCAAGGAGAATTCACCATGCCTCACGATGTTGCGCCTCCTCGACGTTACCTTTAGGTAAGTTATGCAGTCACGTAGAGCCAGGTAACAAATTAGTGATAAAACGCTTCGACCCGATAGACACAGCCCTCGTATTCACCTGGCGTGTTTTTACGGCTAAGTCGAAGTCTTTGTAGTAAAGGCCATTGGGCATGTGACTACTGCACAACGTTCTTGATGCATTTGAGGGTTCGTTGTCATCACAGTCAAATAATCTTTTTTTATTTCAACGCCAAAAGTAAAAGAGAATCAAATTCACGATGTAACCAATGGTAGCGTCATTGCAAAAAAAAATGCGAATTTACCTCCAATCAGAAATGTGGCGTATTGTTGCACTGTATTTATTGTCGCCTTCCGTAATGCATTTATTACTGCCACAATTAATGTCACCGAAAGCGTATTTTTTTTCCTTCAGGAAAATTCACGACGAGTCTTCATTTTCGAAGCGGAAGATCAAGCCTATGTTATCTTAATAATGGTCCTGTATTTCGACATGTACAATTATATTACCTAATGTCAAATATAATTTTTGCAACAGTACTTTGTCATCGTTGTATTCTATTGATGGTTTAAGTCAAGCAGTTTTAAAGTCTGTAGAGTTAGAGATATACTTCCATGTGATGGAATTATTCTGGTCATGTGGGTCTAAATAAACTCCCAACCACGGCAGAAGCAATCGAACAAACCAAAATTGGAATTATGGAAGGTGATCAAGACATACTTGTAGCCTAAGCATTACCAATAAGTGAATGCTAAAAATTGTTACTAGATCTCACAACAAGTATTAGATTTTAAAAGCCTTATTTGCAATATAGCTGGGGTGTCGTTCATTGGTTTACTCGGCTCCTTTTCAAATACCTTCAGCCAAATGTTTTCCATAGTATTTACAGTGCACAATTTCGAAATATTCAACCTATTCCTCACTTCTGACAATTTCCGAGAAAAAGAAAAATACAATGGGACGTAGCGGCTTTTCCACGCCACCACACCAGTCGACCCATCTATACGAAATGAGTGTTCGCCAATCTTTTTTTTTGAAATAAAGATCATAGTGTGCAGGAACTCAATCATAATAAAAGTTGGCATCGGTGCAACCTACACGTTGAGACGTTATAGACCACCACTTTCTCTTCCTATTTTACGTTTGATTCAGCCATGAAATTGTTATCAACGCAAAATTTGCCAATTAATTTTATTCCACAAATAGTTCTCCAAACGGCAAAATACCAGATGAATTTACATCCTTTTTAAGACCTCAAGTGGATTTGAATGTAAACAATAAACATCCTTTCGCAAATTTTGTTTGAAGCGGACTTTGTCCTATAAAATAATGTTGCTCCAATAAACCGAAATTGGGTCTTAGGTACCAGGTTACTCAACGTTTCTGTACATATTCAGTAATAAAGATTTTCAGAACATTAAAGACGCTCGCCACTGTAATCTTGCAATATTAGAGTCCACGCGGACGATACGAATTCAAGCTGGTATGAGGGAGGATCTGCTTTAAATACCAGAACCACTTGTTCAGATTATGAGAACCAGGTCTCTGGCCTGTTCACGATGTGTCGATGCAATAAAGTGCTTCATAATCTTGAGTAGCATTGACGTCATAGACGCACCATATTTGTCATGAATGGATATGTTATTAAGTTGGTCACGTTGTCCAACCGGTGCGTATACTTAATATCAGAGAGTACAAAATCATTTATTATATTATCCCGAATATCGTTAAAACTGTGGGCCGGAAAAATTATGTCTAACAGAATATTTGTGTTCCATTATTTTTAGGTTGTGCCATTAGTAGATAATGCGACAAATGAAAAAGTCGCTAACTAGTTAAAAATCGTAATATGTAGGACAAGATTACGAAACCAGAAATCGACCAATACGAAATATAGGTTAGCTCATACGAACGTTTTTCATTTTGAAATCATACGCAAAAAGGTAATCAAATATGTGACTTCTATATGACTTCGAATGCATTCTCTGTTCGTTATTCATGGAACTCTGCAAATATAAGAACGCAAGATAAACAAACAATAAGGAAAAATAAATGCGAAAAATTGGACGTTGCAATCGCTGTACAGTTAATGAAATAGAAAGTATACTAAAAAAACAATATTTTCATATGCTAGGTCTAAATAAAACATCCAATTCAGATTTGCATCCATTTGGTATATTTGCATTTGCCGGTTCAATAAGTGACACGTGTGGTGTTAGATCCTAAAATTGTATGTAGATCATGTTGTTCCAGGTACAAAAAAGATTCTTAAATCGCTGCTTACGATAAGAAGACACGAATAACGTTTGAGCAGAAACAATATTATGTCTACAAACATAAAACTATGGAAATTCTCTTTCAACTCAAAGGTTGTCTTTTCAAGATTCTGCGGTTTTCGAATTAACCTAGATGTAAATCTTAAAATTTTAACCACATCATAAAGAATTCTATGTGCGTTTCTGCAATTAGGTTAAGCAAAATTTAAAAAAAAATATTGCAAAAAGGGTGAAGACATGTTAACCTGAAAAACCAACGTTGGTGCTTACCAGTTAACTGCATATTAATATGCAGAAAATATATCTACTTCAAAAAAATATATTTGGTAACATATGCTTTGTAAATTGTCACCAAAATGCAAGCAATATTACTTTTTTAAGTAAAAAGCATATTTCTAATTTCTTGTTCCTATTGACTAATATTGACGGCGTTTTTCCAAGTCTCTGATCAAGTCGCATTTCCCTGCGAGTGGTTAAATGGCAACTGCTTTTGAAACTGGTTCGTTCTGACTATTTTTGAGGAGGGATTATGCATTGGAAATTTTATAAATCGTGGTAGCCGCTGAAGAATCCATTGGGAAATGATTTTAAAGTTATAAGTAATGTAATGCCAGTATAAATCACGGCATGCTATTGCAAATTTAATATTACTTTGTGATTACTGTACACACACTTAGCCTGCACTTCGTAGCCAGTGTTAAATGTCAGTCGTGTTCTCGGTGTCATTGTAAATCCGTTGATAGTTCTCGAGTAGTCCAGGTTAGGTAAAGTTTATAGCAATTCGAAATACCAAATCCATTATTGAGTGCGTCGAAAATCGACAGTGTATAAGCGCGTATTTATGTTACGTTATAATATTTTTAACACATTTGGCAAAGTGTGAATTGTTTTGTTCTAGCCCACTTATGCATATCAAATTAAAATTTATTATTCAAAATAGCAAAATATTTTGTCGAAATGCAGGCATTCGAATTTCATACTTTGTCGTGTTTTTAATTGAAGAGTTAGTTCCATAATGTTGTGGATGCTGTCTCTATTTTATTTTGATCATTGACTTGCGTAAAAATATAGAAATGGGCGTAATGCCCGAGTTGTCAAAGGCTATTCAGGAAATGGACTGGATTCTGCCCACGGATATTCAAGGTGAGGCCGTGCCTCTTATTTTGGGTGGTGGTGATGTGCTAATGGCTGCGGAGACGGGCAGTGGCAAGACTGGAGCTTTTTGCATACCGGTCATCCAGATTGTTTACGAAACGCTCAAGGATCTTGAAGGCAGTAAACCGGTTAGTACCTCCTATGAGTAGCAGTTGACGCATTCCTTTCAAGCAGTGTTAATGTTGTTGCCATTTACTGACAACACTATTTTTGTTTGCAATCGGCTACTCAATATTAATAAAAATGCGATTTCGTAGATGATTATTCTAAACCTATGATAATTTCAAATCACACACTGAAGCAAAACGCTTATTAGCCCATCTTGATATCTCCTAATGGGATTCCTTCACTATTTTCTTTTCATGTATTACAATATCGAATAATGTCTTCTAATGTTTGCGTCCGTAAATGTTATTTTTAATTCTCAGGCTAAAAATACTGCTGCTACTGGTCCCCAAACTATGCGGAATTGCCACCTCAACATGTTTGACAGAACTGAAGCCTTTGCCATTGACGCCAACGGCCTGTTGTGCCAAAGTCGGGATCCGACCGGTTGGCACGGTGCACGTGCCACTCGGGGTGTCAGAAATAACGGTGTGTTTACTCTCAGGTTTTAGCCAAAAATTACCTTTATCTTAGTAGGCAATCAACAGACTACTAGTTTTTAATCAACTCGTCTTGATTAAAAGCATTTTTATTCAGACACCTTAATCACCTTTATTGATAAATTTCCAAAAAATTAACTTACATTTCTATGAAAAAGCTGAGGTTTCACGCAATAAAACGAAGGTACTAAGCGTTACACTATTCTCAAGAACGATCTGTGCACTTGTCATCTTGAGGTCCTGACACAAATTTAGTACGTGCTGCGACACTAGCAGGATCGTTCGGGTTCATTATCGATGTCAACTTTTTGCTATCTCTCGGTCAATTAGTGTAATTTGGGTTCCTTTCTGGGTGTCCTGAATATGTTGATTCCGTAAACATGCTGTAAGTGGTAGGGGCGGCTTTGACCATTATATCAATGATATTGACATTCTTCAAGACATTTTGTTCTACACGGTCCGTTCCTATTTGAGAAGTATTTCTTTTTCAAGATGTTTACAGGGCTTCGTTCTCAAATCGAGTGGTTATGATGTCAGCATTGTTGATGTCAGTAATCGTCTTTTTCGAGACATTACGGTTGTCATCTCTTGCAATTTAGGTAAATACTATTATGAGGCAAAAGTTACAGACGATGGATTGTGCCGTGTTGGATGGTCTTCACTACTCGCGTCGCACGACATTGGCACAGACGGCGAGAGCTTTGGTTTTGGTGGGACCGGCAAGAAATCTCATCGCCGCCAATTCGATACCTATGGAGAATCCTTCGGTTTAAACGACGTCTTAGGTTGCTACCTTGACCTCGACAACAAAGCAGTTAGCTGGTCCAAAAACGGTGAGTTCCCGATTGATGATTGGTTTCTAGTCTTGAAGGATGTGAGAGTCTGGTTTGATTAATTCCCGGCTACTTATGGAACCAAAGCTCAATCCCCCACTGGCTTCACACTGACTCCCTCCACGCGATGTTATGTATGGTTAAGTAAAAACAACTTTTAAGTAAATGTGCAAAGCAAAATGCTTTGCACATTTGGGCAAACGTTTGGAGCATAATGCACGTCGTTAGTCTAAAACATGTAGTGAATAGTTATGGTGAAACCCCTGAAGCCGTCAGCACGAATTTCAATTCTCTGCTTTAAGATGGTTGATCGGAAAAGAATTGGTGCTTTTGTGGTTGATGATTTGTTAATTCTGCTTGAAATATGTGTTCCATCGTTATTTCTAGCCTTTTACTCTGGTGCAAAACAACGGATGATGGCTTTGCTCACCCGTCACTCACCCATTTCTGAGTTTCAAGGCTAAATCTATGCCGGTCACAAAACCTAGATCCCAAGTTTTGCAGAACCGCATAGTTTTGCATTCTCTCTCCTCCAGGCAAGCGATTTCCAAAGGCATTTGACGTGCCAGCTCATTTGGTCTCCACGGGGCTGTTTCCTTCAGTGAGTCTCAAGAACGCAGAACTGTTGCTCAACTTCGGCGAGACGCCGTTCGCCTTCCCTCCAACCGATGGCTTCGTCGCGATCAATGCCGCCGCTTCCAAAAACACCATCGCCTCCCCCATTGATGGTGAGGGTTGTCTTGCGAGCAATCGGTGTGTTTACTAGGACATTTGAACTCACACCCGTGCAAATTGAATTATAGGTGGGAAGTCGCATTCGACCTTCAAGCCCAAGGCGAATGCACCACTGGCATTGATTATTGAGGTTGGTAGCTATTTAAACATTGATTTGCCATTGTGTATTGTATCTGGCACTTCTTGTTTTTTTCTGTCGGCTGCAGATCTCTTTCGCGGTAGCCTAAACCAGTATCGCCTAGCTAGATTTAAGGAACTGGTTTGTTGTCCATTCTACTCGTACTCTACTCGCTTAATGCGGTAGACCTCAAAAACGACAATGCCGTTGATGCTTAAAATAAATACATAATCTTTTCGGGGCATTTTGGTTGTTGTGCCATCTTGTAGATCGCTTTATGATGTGCGTGCTTTGCCATAAACTCCCTAGGTGGTAGAATTTCTCTTGGATCGTCTTCTACCTTTTTAACCAATCGCGTTGTTCTGCGTTTTTGTTAGCCGTCGCGTGAATTGGCCGAGCAGACGTTTGATCAGATCAACAAGTTCAAGAAGTTCCTCAGCAATCCCAACCCTCGCGTCCAGCTGGTCACCGGAGGAGTCAGTGCCAAGGACCAGACCGAGGCCTTTTCCAAGGGGGTTCGTTTACAGCCATTGTTCTTATTTCGTAGCTTTTCTCCTGTGTCAAACTAATCTCTGCGCCTAGTGTTTCTCACTGATCCTAGCGCAACCTACTACTTGAAAGGTCGCTATTTACTCACAACAGGGGATTGACGTTTTCTGTGTTAAAAGCTTTCTTGTCCAAACGTCTGTCTTTTGTGATCTGGTATAATAACCGAGGTCTTTCCTTACAAGGTTGATATTGTGGTGGCGACCCCGGGCAGGTTGGAGGACATGCTCTCTACAGGGGCGCTCTCCTTGTCCCACTGCCGGTTCTTCATCCTCGACGAGTGCGACGGCCTCCTTTCTGCCGGCTACGGACCAATGATCCACCGACTTCACAACCTTTGTCCGAAGGTCACGCCAGATGGCAAGCGTCTGCAAATGGTGGTCTGTTCGGCAACTCTGCACTCCTTCGATGTTAAAAAACTAGCCGTACGTCCTCCGTATTGTTATATGACGTGGTTTCTTTCAAAAACAGTGAACTGTGTTCATATCGCTTGTTAGATATGCAAACGTCTAGTTGTCTAAGTACAAATCTCACTTGATACGGATTTAAAACTCTTGATGGACCTAACGCACTGCTACTGTGTACGCCGCCTTCAAGTCAATTGTCAAAACCTGCACAAATCAGCAGTGCATATTTTGACCTCCTGTTTGCGAACACATAGTGAAGAGGTCACTTTCCAATTTGTGTGTCCATATCTTCGGATATTTCCTTGATACTAAATGTAACACCGTCAATTTCAGGGGATAAATAACAGGTTTTTCAGGCGTTTAGACATCTGCTGGATTTTTTACACTCTATTAGAGGGTTCGCCGTATATTAATGTTCACCTTCTCTGTATGACAACACTTAAATTTGGTTGCCGCTGTCGTAAACAATGTTTGTCAAGCAGAGTAGAAACCCAGAGAACGGGGCGTCTTGGCCAAGTTTACTGCTGACTTACTCGTTCCAGACTCACATTGCTATGCGTCTTGTTTGTAGAACCAGCTCATGCACTTTCCTGTCTGGATCGATTTGAAGGGCCAGGACACAGTACCAGAGACACTTCACCACGTTGTGAGTAATCTGACTCCACTGTTGCCCGATTTTGCTTTTCGACGTGAAGTGCTGAGGGTTCTCTTTCACCTAGGTGTGCCTGGTGGATCCCTATCAGGATACCTCGTGGAAACAGCTGTTGCAATCCAACCAGCACATTCACACCGATGATGTGCACATGAGGGACAAGCTCAACGCCAACTACGAGACCCCTGGTAAGCATTTTTCCACTTTTGAGGACGAATTGTTGTGGTTCGGGAACGGAGCTGGCAATTATTAACCAGTGACCACGTTCCTTTGGATGAAAACAGGACCCCAAAAAGGCTAGTCGTGACGTGGACAGGGCTTTCTTGAAATAGTCCTAGGGAATAAATGTGACCATGTCTGCGAGGAATAACGCGTGTGTTATATGTGCGCTACCGCATTATCTAATGCGAATGTGTGGAACTAACTTGTTGGTCGTTATCGCAATTCTCCGAGTCAGCCCCACGGATAATTTTTGGTGTCACCAGATGGGGTCATCAGGCAAAGGAGTAATTTTTTTTTAAATTACGGCAACTGACTCTCCACAAATATCCGAGTGAAGATTTCGTTGTGTGAGCGGTCACGCGAATCCCGACAATTTAACATTTGTACAGCGTTTACCGTGTTTTACTAACTCTTTGCTGACTCAGTCGGAATTTATTTGCTGTTGCCATGTAATTTTGTCGGGTTAATTCTCAATGGTAGGGGATCCCATGGCGAGATTTTTTTGCGTCAAGAGAACAGTGGCATCTTGGAATGTTGTAAAAGCGTGTACAAGCGAGTGAAGACGAACTGTAAAACAACAGTAAGCAGATCCGAATAATATGGCAAATATTCAATGGCGTGTTTCCTAGACAGGCAGTTTTTACGTAACCGCAAGTAGTCACAAACCTTTTTATTTCAACGAAACCGTTCTGCGGATCTCGCAGATCTGTGTCTCACAAATTTAACTCGTGGTGTTCCATTGAAATCACTATGCTGGAATTTCCGTAAACTGAACAATAGTCGATACTTTGGAACCTGATAGTGTCAAAACCGCTTTGTTCCCTTCCCCTCGCAATCCTCTGTTAGAGTCGGCCCACACTGCAGATCTTTGCGGATGCGTGTGTCGCATCAAAGTTATTTTCTAATCGACGGTGTTCATTGTAGGCGTTCACTTACATTGACTACTCACTTTTCGTGAATTGATGTTGCCTTAACCACACCTGTACTTATACTCTTTGTCGGCAGAACTCATGTCCGAAGCAGTCAAGATACTCAAGGGGCAATACGTCGTGCGGGCCATTGAGGAACAAGGAATGGATCGTGCTCTCATATTCTGTCGAACGAAATTGGATTGCGACAATCTGGAACAGTACTTCATCTCGTTGGGTGGAGGCAAGTGTACTTTCGGATTTTGCGCACTTAGTGCTGGGTAGTTGCGATGAGAGGGGTTTATTCGATGGTATTTACGAAGCGGGATTCAGTGACCGCGTTTGGGTCCTGTTGGTGAACTGCCTGTCTTCCTCTTTTTTAGGTCCATCCGAAAACCACAACAAATTCAGCTGCGTTTGTCTGCATAGTGATCGTAGCCCTGTCGAACGAAAGGCCAATTTGCAAAAATTTAAGGTTTTTTTTGAAATTTGTGTCCAACAAATTTTACCTTTTATTTTACCAAACATAACTTGGGATGCTACTTTTTTTGGCAGAACGGAGACGTCAAATTCCTTATCTGCACGGACGTAGCAGCTCGGGGTATTGACATTACAGGCTTACCCTATGGTGAGTGCATTTATCTTTTTTTGGATTCATGTTTGAACTTCGATCTTCTGGCTATTGTCTCTCCGTACTCTTGACATACCAACAAGCTTCATGCCCTGTCTTTGCTGGCTTGAAGTAGGCCAAAGTCCGTGAGGTGGTGCATTCATTGATCTGACTTGTTTTGGGCATTTCGTGGGAAGCATTCATGGGCATAAAAGTAACTTCGTCGGGGTTAAGCCGTTGCGTCAGCGAAATTCTTCAACTAGGGACATAATGTCACAAAACTGTCGTAAATCGAAAGCCAACGATTTGTTGCCTTCATATCCCAAGTTAATGTGGGTCATCTTCGACTTTGAGTTCTTCGAATGGCGAATGCAGCATTGCCTTACTTGCTTAATGGAGTGCATTGACTAACCAAGGAGGAAACAGTCGTTGCCCACCGCGCGTGCTTATAATTGTTATCTATCCTGACTAGTTATCAATGTAACCTTGCCGGATGAGAAGCAGAACTACGTTCACCGGATCGGTCGTGTTGGCAGAGCGGAACGGTGAGTCTTAAAATTGGATTTTCACCGAGATGTCATCTTTGCCTTTTTTGTCGTCCATTTCAAAGGCAACCGATTGCCACCATTTACGTACACAACAAGTGACCAGAGTAACTTGTGTCGACAAAGAAATTTTCACTCAACGATGTGGATGGTGAATTAGTCATCAGTCAGCCGCCTGAATCACATTTCTTTGTTGCATTTTCCCTTTAGGATGGGGCTAGCCATCAGTTTAGTTGCTACGTGCAAGGAAAAGGTGTGTTGGTGATGATTTTTTGAATACTTGTGACGGTTTATTATCATACTGTTTGAATTTACAAGACATTGTAGTTATTTTGGGAAACAATCCATCTCATTTCTACCCTTATGCCTCATAGCGTTCCTATATTTAATCAAATCGGATTGACTTGCACAAGAAGTAAAGTTAGGTTTGTAAAAAATTCGTATTGCCAGTAATTACCTATTGAATTGGGAAAGTGTATGCATATTTCTTCCAAAATTTTCGATACAATTGATCCCCTTTCCTTAAAGCACATCACATATTGCTTGACAAATGACAACTCAACTTGGCTCCCCAAGGTATCAGATTAGATTTAAAGATGAGAGAGAACACGAAATTCATACCAAACCACTGTAGACTCTGCCGCGTTGTCGTAGATGTACGGCGCGTTGCATACTTTTGGCAAAACATTACACCTGTCGCTGCCGAATTTTGGACTCTTTCGACCAAATACACGACACGACGTCAAGTGTTTTGCTGTGGTGTAATCTGCAGCGTTGCTTCATGCATTTCCCACACTTAGCATTACGCACAACGCAAGTTTCGCTGCCTGTTTCGTAACTGGGACGTTTTCATTGTGTTCGGGAAGAAAATCATATGTGAAGCTGCGGATCATCATTTTGTCCTAGTTGAGAAGTACCCAACTACCATAATTTTAACCTTGCGTGTGTGTTAATAATGAGTCACATCGACATCCACTTATAGTCCCCTCTATAGTTATTGTATTTTCCGTTACCTAAATCGTAATACAATGATATCGTTTGTTCGTTCAAGTAAGTCTGCCTATGTCGAGAATGATACTAAGCGAGTTTACTTGCAGAAGCCACGTTAATTTGAGTCGATTTTGGCATAAATTGGTTACATATCTAAATGCGTTGATACTTGACTTAATTCTATACCCATTCATACTTCACCTTTTGTGTTATGCAAGGTGTGGTACCATTCAAACTGTTCTTCGAGGGGTCGCGGGTGTTTCGACACTCGTTTGGTGAAAAGCGGTGGCTGCTGCATTTGGTACGATGAGAAGCAATTACTCGGTGAAATTGAGGAACACCTCGGTGTTACCATCGACACCGTCAGTCGTGAACTTAAAGTGCCCGCTAACGAATTCGACGGAAAGGTAGTCTATGGACAGAAAATGAAGCAGGGTACGTATCCAAGTTGTTGAATCAGTTCGCGTTTGCCATTGCGTTAAGGCGGTCAGCAATTTTTCAATGATTCGATTGCCAGCTGGAGCGGTGCTTAATGCGGCAGTAACCGAGGTCGTTGGACACGGTCGCAGTGGTGTATCTACGTGTTTTTTCATCAGCCACTTTTGAAAATAGAACTATTGTTGTGTCTTAAAGATAAAGCCGGTCCTAAAAAACAAGTTTAATGGTTGTGGTTGGTGTTTATGTGCAGCTTTTCATATTTCTCTTTTTTCATCACTCTCATTGGTTACAGCAAGTCCTTCTATTTTTTTTGGTGCTTGTGCGCAGCTTGAAACAACGGAGTGCCCAGCTTTTGCATATTAGGAAGAACTGATCGAGACGTTCTATAAGTCGTATTCCTTTTCGACATCTAAACCACTCCCTATCTTTGCGTTCTTTTAGTTGCTCCCACTTATAAGGGCCATGCTGATGTTTTGTCTTCCGCATTGAAGCAGCTAAGCGCATTGGAGAAGAAGGCTCAAGACAGCTTCCTGAATCTGCGATACGGCGGCCTCATCAAATATTGATTGCTTTGTCTTGTTACTTAATGATGATATAAAGAGCTGTGCTATAGAATTATGTGCCTTTTCATGTTCTATACATTCCACTTGGGACGATAATTGTTTTTGTAAAACTTAAACCCTGTCATGGGTTGGAATCGTGTGTTTCTAGCCTTGGTTGTTAGTTAATCAACTTATAAAAGGAAGTGGTCTGTCAGGGTAATGGTTTAGTTTGGGAATGGTTCGCTGACACACTTAAGTTTCGAAAATGCCAACTTCGGTTATGATAGACAAGCATACAAAAAATTAGTGGGTAATTTTTTATTGTAGATCTCCTTGGGTCCACTACAGATTGCGGTTTAACATTTACAAAATTACAAAACGGGAAAGAATTATAGAATTGGATTGCAATGTTGATGAGAAGATACACAAAAACAGTGAACGTAGAAGCCGAGTCTTTAGTTAGTAGATGTGTACGTCCAAAAATCGGTCTCAACTCAGCATATTTGGTTAGCACTACAACCAATTAGCCCACCATTTTCAGTTGCTTAAAATACTGCATAGTCAGCGACAAGATCGGCATGTAAATGGAACCGAACGTCCCATGAAATACGCGCATTACCAATAACGGAACATGATAATATATAAAAACACAACGCGCGTTCACAATCGATCATGTCCAATTGTAAAATGAGTCAGTATAAATATTGCTGTTTGCAAATTATTGCTTTTAACCACTATATTTGAAATGCAGTGACACACATGGCAAAGAAATAAATGGATATCATCACATATTCATTTTTACATTGGTTAACAAATTCCGATTAAAAACTACTTACGTTTACTCGTTGAATAACCTGAAAATGGTAAAAGCAGCTTCAGAATTTTTAAAATAAAATTCCTGCCTCGTGTATCCTTGAATCACTTAAATCATCCATCATATTTATCTGTGAACCAGGAACAAATAAAATTTCAATTTAAAAAACGAGAAATAAAATTTTGCTTGATTAACTTTAAAGTGTGCATGGTATGTCGTAGTATCGCATTTTGTTGTCGAATGAAAATGATAAATTGCGAACAGTCTCAGCGAGCTAAGACCAATGATATATCACCGTATTTCTAACTGAGGTTGAGCGATGATTGGCTATCGCTTTATGGAGTCGTGCAGATAATGTTTTCGAGGCCAAAGAATTCTGTTAGTCAAAAGCCCAAAAAAATTCACTCTCTTGAGTATTTGAAGTAAGATTTTGGGCGTTATGTCTTATCCGTTTTACTGGATTATTGTTTTGACTTCTTGTTTCATGAGCTTGGTATTCTTCAGTTATCATGATGATTTTTTACTATCAATTTTGCTTCGAGGAAATAAAAGCCTCATTTTTGAAGTATAAAATGTAAAACGTTTTCCATTAAACCACTTTGGCTGTCCTTAATTGGAGCTTCCTTTTTTCTGATTTTCTGAACGTAGTCGATATGATACAGATTATCGAAACTGGGTTTTTAATTTCAACTCTGAAATGCTCGGTTCTGTTGTGCGTATATACGGTTGTGTTCTATATATGTTTTTCCTCATTCTTTATGGTCTTTTTGGAATACTGTAACTGCGGTGATTTTCTTAATGTGTTCAATCGAGCAGTCTGCAGCTAATTTATCGTTTTTTTCGCTGCCTTCTTTCTTCATTAAATTGTTGCTGTTTTAGTGGTACGTTCTCGCAACCCTACTTTTTGCAGCACACTGTTCTAATATCCTTTTTTTGTCTTAAATTCTGCTCGTAGCGAGTTATATGCTCTAGGCTACGTGTATATGTTTTCGTGCAATATATCATTTTAATCTGCCAATTTATCTCATATCATTTCTGGCTTTTATACTTTCCTACCTTATTTTGGATTCTGTTGTCTGCCTTCTATACCTTTTTCTGCCCCTTATTATATACCAGAGTTAAAATAATCAAACATCATTGCTTAAGTTCCTGCTGTATTTCTGTGTTGGTGGATGTATTACAGACTTCTAAAATCCTTTTTTGTTTTATCTTGAAATCATAGCTTTTTGGTACAGCTATGGTTTGAAATTCCTATACACGATTCACTTGCTTCTTGACATTTAGTTTGATCAACGTTGAGGCATTAAATTCTGTTGTTGTGGCCTAAGCGCTTTCCAGATTTTGTAGTTGCAATTGCACGTGTAGGCGCAATCTGCGGTTTTGTAAGTCGATACCTTTAACTCTAGTTAAAACTGAGCTGTAGGAATAAATTATTTGCACGCAGTAGGATATTTTGGAGCAGCTTACAAGCATATGTTGCTTTGATTGGTCGTATAAATGTACTGCAGTTTTACCTTCTATTTGAACAATTCAACTTATGTGTTGATGACAATGATCTAGTTGAAGTTATGATGCTTGAAATTTTTTTGAAAATACGTCGAATGATAGCTGTCTTGGCGATTTATTTTAAAGTTCGTGTCTTTTACGTAGCCTCCTCAGATAGCAAATCAATCAGATTAAACTGAGAGTGACTTTGAATAAATGTATTCGTTTCAATTTTAGGTACCTACAAAAAGTACTTCTAAAGAACTGCGACGCGACAGACTATAACTCCGATGAGATAGTGGAGAGTTTGCGTCAATTCTCAGAGATCCTCGTTTGGGGTGATCAAAATGATGGCGCCATTATGGAGTATGACATCATATCTCTTAATTTCAACTTTTAGTTTCTTTTGGGAGCAGAATTGCCTTGAACTGCTCATCCGATACATTGAAAAGAGAAAAGATCGCAATGTTTGTGTTCAGCTGCTCCAAACCCTTAATATTCTTTTTGAAAATCTTACTAATAACAGAGCAATATGTGAGTTCGACATCGGTTGATCTTACTCAATCTGCATTAGATTATCTTCTTTCCCAAAATCATACTAACGGTATCATTCTTCACGACTTTGACTTCTCTGATGAAGAAGTTATTGGCTATTATATTGCATTCTTGAAGTCACTCTCTTTTCGCGTCAATGAAGATACAATAAATTTTTTCTACGACGAAGCCCAGTCAAGTTTTCCTCTGTATCAGAGGGCTCTTCGATTTTTCAATCATTCGGAAACTATGGTGCGCATAGCCGTACGAACTATCACCCTCAACATCTTTAAGGGTAGGTTGAACTCCCACTACACCCACATTTTATCCAGCAGTCCACACCAACTGTAAAAATCCGCGGCCTTTATTTGATTTCACGTCGTGGTATTAGGTGAAATCTAGAAATCACTTCAAGTCATTGAATCTATCGCACCCAATAGTCCCACTTTGTATCAGGTAGTCAGTCATTAGTTTCCTTAGGCAGTTGTGTTGCCTCTCTAGAGACTGTGAGTTTGGTTGTTGAGGTTTTGATTCCTAGCCTTTCTGAGCCCACTGTTTGTCATTTTTTTTTAAAATTAACCTCCTTTCGAAGTAAAGTGATTCATCGCAACCTTTATATTCATCTTAAGCAGCAAAATATTAACAGATCCGTCGACGTTTCCATTTCCCCATTTCAATCGATACAGCTTTTTTAAATCTAAAACTGAGTGTTGTAAACCCTACGGCTCATCAAGCCTCCTCCAGCCTAGTACTCAAATGTCACACATAGCACCGTCAATCGTTTGCGCAAAACTTGGTTTCTTTTTAGTTCGCAACGTTCCCTGCGCCATGTACGTTTACGCTTGTACCTCTGTACCATACTTTTCTCACCTAACGGAGGAAATGCGGAAAACTGCTTCGGCCATCAATGACTCAATTTGCTTTCACAACAGGTGTGTTTATTTTCCTATAATCACGAGAGCTGACTACTCAGCTGTATTCCGGCGTATGTGGACACAGCTATTTTAAAACCAAATCACAGCCTAACCGAAACACTCCTTTTTCAACTCTCATAAGGTTTTCTTTGTCTATGCTTCGGTGTTGTTTTCCCAAATGATGCACACAATGTCCCTTACGGAATGTAGGTTTCCGAGACGAGTTGGACGGTCCGTCATCTCAAAATATCTCCATCCATTTTCCAAATCACTAAGATTTTAGAGAAGCGACTTCAGAAGCGTGTTAGTGTTCTGCAATTATCGTTCTGAAGCTTATTTGGTACATCGAAACAAAATGAACGTACGACTTAATTCCCATTATGAAGCAAATAGTAAATATTTCACGTGTTAAAATTGCTGCTGATAGTTGCACTTTAAGCAAACTGGCCAATTGGAGTTTTCATGGTGATTATTTCCTTGGTACAGGCGCATTTAAATGCATAAACACAGCGTTGAGCAGGTGATGTAGTGAAGGAAGCAAATCTCACGTCTGATGCTAACGTGCAGGCTTTGCCACTTTAGTTAAGACAATTTTATAATTCAACTTGTAGACTGGTTAATCGGAGCCGGATTGAGGACCTCGTCGCGGAAACGTCTGACCATCTGCATTACATTGACGACATTTTCTCATTAGGAATTCCCGATCTGACAAACGTGCTCTTCTTCATCCTCCTTCAACGTCTTTTCCTTCCTCTCTACGTGCATTCCCTCACAAAAAGACATCTACCGAATAATAGCACTAATAACTATAAGGTAAATTATGCATCCATTAAATTAACTCGTCTTGTTTCTCCAGCACGACCAACGGAACATCGGACGCTTGACCTTTGTTATGTGGTGGTCAGCACGCTAACATTCTTACTAGATGTGGGCGAACGTGAATTCAATTGATTCACTTCACTGACCACCGTCACACTGGCATTTTCACTCGGTTTCCCACGTAATCTCATATTGGCGGTCTTTGATTTGTATCGCGTTGTAGGCAACGCCATCTATACTTTCAATTTTATTTCTGAAAATATACTACTTTGCTAAAAACGCATGCCACTCTCAGAGGCCATTGAAATCGTGACGCTTCGTGCCTTGTAGTGGGGTGCACATCCGTGAAAGATATGTACAGATCACGATCATCAGAAACTACGATAGTTGGTCTAAATATTATAATAACAATGCGTCACTTAAATTTGCATTTCAAAGATGCCATAGGCCACCAGATAAGATGCATTGCTCACAATGAAACCTGGCTTTAAACTAAATGAATTTATTTTTACCTGAGCTCTAGTGTTGCTTCTTCGTGTTTGTTTTTTGTGCGGTATGGGTGCGTCATTTGTGGAGGGCTGAGGCAGCAACTAGAATTGTCAGCATCGGTTTTCACACGAAGCAATCTCCAAAACACAACCTGCTTACGAAAGGTGGACCCCACAACTACTGAATTCGTAATTGCGTCACCCTGGAAGCTCAAGTCGCCAAACTTACAGCCAATTGTCACACTGATATGTTGACTAGGCGGCACCTTGATCTATATTTGCTCAAACTGTGTTAAGTCTTGACTACAGCTGGAATATTTGCTTCAAACTCAACCGATTCGACTTGCTAGCTCATGAAGCTCAATATAAAGTCAAATGATAAGCGAGTAAATGTTATTCGTTTTTATACAAATTATGGCTTGCTCCACGTTAACCTCCTTTGATCAATTGAGGCGTTACTCGTCTCTCACAGTCACACGGTTGCAAGTGTCCACGTAAAAGATTGGTATCTTCCAAATGTGGTTCGCACCTTTTCAAATTGCCTTATTCTCAAAAGAGGTTCCAATTCGCCATCACCAAAGTTGGGGGGGGTGGGGGAAAGTTGGATATTTGTGATATCCTGGTGCATCTTTTACTACCATTTATATTAATATTTTGAATAAATTGGGCGGGATGTCCCTACTCGTTCACTGTTTGCTTCCTCAACGAAGCTTTCTTTGCATTACTTAACCCTTCCTTACAGAACCACTTTTGTGCTCCACGTTTAAGGGCTCTTCTCGGGGATACTTTTTTCACGCAGTGTCAATGTTCCTTCTCTCTCAAGTCTTCACAATTCTTCACCAGCCTGATCTTATTCGAGTCCTTTCCGAAGCAATTCTGATTGGCGATTTGACTTTGCTTTGCCCAGCCGCTCAGGCCACTAGCGGGGAGGCCACAGGTGATGTGGTCGCTCACCTGCGCGCAGCGCATCACGGCAAACGAGCCGTGAAGATGTCCCCGCCTGGTTCGCGTCTCGCCGCCTTCCTTCGCACCATAGCTGGATGCGGGTGCCAAATCAGCTCCGTGGAGAACGTCCAGGCCGCCTCGTCAACGCTAGATGAGGACATCGCCAAGTGTTCCCTAGCCATTCAAGATTATTCTGCAGTTAACAATAAGAGTAATATTGTACGTCTTCCTCTTTCCTTCACTTGTCAAATTGACGTCCAATCAAATCCCTTATTTCCCTGTCTGAGCAGACTTCCTCGTGTGCCCGGTTTGATATCCGTTCAGTTCTTTTGTGTGTGCTTTAAACAGGCCGCTAACTTATTCTAAACAACAACAACAACAACAACAACAACGGAAACTGTAAAATTAAAGTTTGATTGGACTAGGCTGCTTTTTCTTTCCTTCTTCTTTTCATAAAAAGTGCCCACTAAATCGGAAAGGTTTTTTTTAAATTAGTGTATTCCAATGTGCAACAGGTACCCATAGCGCTTTCCACCTTTTCACAAATGTTGGTTTCAACACAAATTTTTTTTCCTGTCCTAGGATTATTGTAGAACCTCTTTATTTATAGTTTATGTAATTTAAAATTACATTTTCACAGAGCTCTGACGAAAATCAAAGTGGCGTTCCACGGGACTCGTCCTCTCCTACCTCCTCCTCATCTTCCTCCGGTAAGCACTTTGTTTCTTGTAGAAACGATGCGCATGCACTCACCTCCATTGGCGTGCCTCTTAGCCGTTTCTCCAAACGTTGTTTACGCACACTGCAGGCTACTGTTGAATAGGCCGGAATTCATGTGAAATTTTGCCCATATGTGTACCGGATTAAATCATAACCGATTGTTCACCAAGTTATTACCCGAAAATGCACATGTGGAAAACGGATATTGTTTGTCGGAAGTGAGTATTTTGCACGAAACAGGTAGAAATAATGTGGCAGGAAATAACTCATTTTGTAGTGTCCACGTAAATTTAGGTGGAAAATTGGCCGCTGATTTAAAGCTCCTAACACTGCCAACTGTTTTGGCACCGAAGCTGCAAACCTTCATGGAGATCATGTGTTTTGTGAATTGTTGCGATAAAGGAGTACTGTTTTGCAAACCAATAAAAGTACAACCGGTTAGCTTTTGCAAGTGGAGGCTTTACAGCATGACAACACGCAGGCCTGGGCTATCTGGCGGTACTTGGAGCAGTCCGTTCCCTGTACCGCGCAATCTTCTGAGTTGTTTAGAGATGATTCATGGGGAATTGTGACTTTCCTTCCGTTTGCGTCGTTTGTTCGCCGAAAAAGTTATTCCAGTCTCCACATCTGCCAAACTTTTGAGGCCACACACGCCATAACGTACAAAGTACTTTGGTGTAATTGCCTGTTGAACTGTTTCTGTTGATGCCCCGATTTCAAACTTGAACCCGCATTGTAACAGCTCGATTAGTGGCGCTGTCGTGGCTCGAGTAAGTGCAAAGTTCCAGGGTAGATTGAGGAGGTTAAGGGCAACAGAGTGAAACCGTTAATTGGGCCACTCGATCAACATCCTGAAGGTGAGAGGATGAAGGGGCTGGCCAGAGGGGGAACATTCGTGTCAGTATTAATCCATAGAGTCGATGAGCGTCCCTGTCGATGTAACCTGACAGTGCTCTGTTCACCTCCTTTGTCGTTTTCCGGTTTGGATTAAACACTTCAACAAAGAGGAATCAGTCGACGCGCGGGGCCTTTTTTAACCGACTCCCGCTTAAAATGCCATTTCGTTATTCGCTTTCTGTTGAGCAGCCTCGTAAATTAATGAATCGTTTTCCTTTGAGTTGATCTGTTCGTCTTCTAATGGAATTTTGACAATGAGACTACTTATGGAACTCATCATGTCTAATTCTCCTCAAATTCAAGTTTTAACTTAGTGTGAATTCTCAACATCTTAGGCGATTCTAAACGCCAACATTTTACCTGGCTTTCGTTGGCACTAGTTATCCTTGAACAATCAGCAAAATGTCGTTTTGAGTTCATTCTTTACTGATTACTGTTACGAGGTGACATTTCGTGGCCAATAGCACCGAATCTCTTTATTTTTCAACATTTATTCATGTTTTATGATTATTATTTGAGGGATTCGGCGGTTTTATCGCAAAAAACGACTTGATGTCACTTGTAGTTTGTAGTTTCCACTATCTTAAGCTTCGTATTTTCTACCATGACTCTCCTGCCATGCGCCTGGCCGCTATGAAATTGGAATGCACTTTATTTGCACTTTTAATGGTTTTATGTGAACTACGGATATGCCTTGATTAGCTTGGCATTATCTTACTGATGTTGTTAGCTGGTTGAATACATTTCCAACCTCACCAGTGGGTACTGACAGAGATCGAATCAGCAGACGAATTCTCGCCAAGCCACCCGAGTTTCATGTGCGTGTGTGTGTGTGTCATTGTGCCTGCGCTGCACAGGCTTGTAAGTGCATCCTGGGCCGACGTCATTCCAGCCGCCTGCTCATTGCCAGCGCCGCACTACTAGCAGCATCCTTCTGCACGGTGGCAGCTGGAAGCGACGTGGCGATTAATGTCAAGGCATCTCAATTGGTTTGTTGTGCAGCTCGCGCCGTCATATTTCATTGGTTTAGACCATTGACAGTGTGTGAAGTGGTGGCCTGGTGTGGCTCCTTCCGTCCTCTTTTACGGAACTGCAACCCATGTACTTGTTGCTTTAAATCAGAAAGTGAAGTTGGTTCTCAGAAGCTACTCAGATCACACCGTTGCCTTGTGGCTTGTCGCCGTCTGACCTTTTTCCAATCTTCTTCCTGGTTTCATTAATTCATTACATGGATAAGTGAATTCGTTTGATCAGCTTAGGTAATGTTAAAGTGGGGTTACACTTGACAGTTCTTGTACTGTTAGATTTTGCTAGTCAAATTGCGGTGACACCATTGGCCGTGCCCTCACCCCCTCAACACGACCCCTCGGAGCGAAATGAGCGTCCTGACGAAGCCCACTCACAACCCTCAGCCGGTTCCGGTTTCAGCCTGACGAGCAAACCGTTCCTTCGGGCTCTCTTCCGGTCCCTTGAAGTCGGCCCGGGCACCGACTATGACACGTTTTTCGCGCTCTCCCTTCTTATCGCCATAAAGCAAAATGGTGGTAAGTGCTCTCTTTCTTGCGCACTACTTGTGTGCTCGTGGCGCCAAATGTGGCCAGCAGTCAACTCACTTCTAGATTGTTGGACCAGGTTATATTAGTAGTTCACATGTTGACTGCCCGTCCCTGCTATAATCTTGGCAAAATTTCATGCCGGTTGCCGCCTTACGCTCCTCCGTTAAACGCTTAACTCACGTTGTTTTGCTGTGTTTATGTATTCATTCAAATTGCAATTTTTTTACCCATGAAATAAAACTTAGTAAGCAAGCCATAAGGCGACTTCGATTTGCGAGCTTTCTACGCCTTAAATGGAGGTTTTGTAAACGAGACCTTGGCTTCACCGATAGATTGCTCTTCCGAGGTTGGTGCTTCACCAAGACCTCTCTGTCCCCATCAAATTGTTGGTATCCCTCTGTCCGGGACATTGCTCCACTGTACTCATGGCCGGCCGTCCAAGAAGACTGTCAGTCGAAAACGACCACTGTTCCCGATCAAGGTGCCGTGGTTTTGGTCTCACCCCTAATGCCAAATGCGTGCCATTCGCGTGTCAACGCCCCAAACGTGACAAGGAAATCCCCACCAAATTAAGCCCACCTGTCTTCTGTTTCTAGCTGGCCATTAAGTCTGCAAATGTAGCTCATTCAACTCCTGAAAGCCACTACTTCATTTTTATCGGAATGTATCTGGTTAACGCCTTGGGTTTCATTTTGTAGGTGAAGATGAGGGAACCTTAGCCTTGGCCCAATTGCATACGCCCACTCAAGTATGTCTAGCCCTATTGTTGATCGTTAAATTTTCAATTGTTTCTAATATTTTAGAAGTTTTGTGTTATGAAAACGTGGAGTAAAGTGCCTTTTCGAACCTCATTTCTGGTTCTTTTGAAGTATGAATTAGTTAAGTGGAGATGGTCACACGAGAACCTAGCGTGCTACTACCGTTTTTTGTCAATAGAACTTGTACTATTTGGAAACGCAAATACAACCCCCCTTTACCCCTTTTTTTCTGCTGCCAATTTTGATGAGGTCGAACGCAACTCGGCATTTTACCCACTGACACTCAAACTTGTTGTTTGGTGGGTTGGTTGCAGTTGTTCTAGGTACACACCTCAAACGTAGGCTGTTTTTTTTCTACCGAAATACACAACGCATCAGTGAAGGTCAAGTCAGTTTTTCCACAGGGCTGGTTTGCTCAGGGCACAGCAACACACCAAGGCTCCTTTCACGTGTAAGGTGTGAAGAAAGCGCGGTAAACACAAACGAGGGCGTGTGGATATGCGGTGATTCGGAGTGTGTATTGGCACAGTCCAGTCAACACCTTATTTGCATGTCGCAGACTCAATTACTATAACTAGCTTCAATCATAGGATTACCCGCTGCAATATTCGCTTCCAGCGGGCAATGCTTGCGTTTATTCACAAGTTATCTGTGTAGCGCTGCTTAAATCGACGGGTGTTTAGCTTTGAGGAGTGCTGACTCGGCTAAATTCATGGCGCTTTCACGAGGGGTTCTGTTCCATTGTGTTCTAGGAATCTCCCTGCAACTCAATGCTAATCACAAAACTCCTCGACATTATTAGTGACGCGGCGAAAATGGGTAAGCTTGATAACCCTCTGTTGTCTTTATTATTTGTGGGAATCACTTTAGCCTCGTCTTAATAAGTAATGGCATCGGTTTTCACCATATTTTCCTCGCACTTGAAACACTGACTTTTCTTAGGTGCGGTAACACGCCTTGTGTGGGTGATTTTAGTAGATGCCACCTTTTTTTAATGTTTTGTTAACAACTGCCCGTTGTCATGGCAACTTACGCCCGTGGCTAAATGGGAGTGTACGACGCCTGATGTAATCGATGGTTTTGGTGTAATTAACTCCGGCTAACCCGTGTAGAATTCCCTCATGTCCTCCTGCGCCCTGTACTGGGATGCGTTCGGCAAATTTAACCTCGTTGGTGGTGGGTCGTTCTTCGTGCAGTTATGTTAAAATGGATCTAAGCAGAATAATGGTTGTGCGAACCAAGTTTCAGTAGTGTAATGTAGGTGTTTCAGCAATCTCGCTTGAGGCCTCGCTTAATCAGCTGTTGGTTTCATGAATTATCACCGCTACTCTCCCAAACCTAGGTTTATTTGCTGATTTGTGTGAAGCCAGCTTGCTTCTTTGGTGGGTAATGCTACTTTCCTGCTTTTTATCTACGCACTCCTTTCCTAAATAGTCATGCTAATTCAGTTGCCCATCCTGAATCCCGTTCCCGGTATTTAGCGGTAATTACTGCAAGTAAGACCCAGGTAAATCAGTTCAATGCTTGATAGTCTGTCAGTTTTTGCGTCCACTTTGCAATCTTGTGTACTAATTGGGCGATGTTGGCTGTGGTTCTGGAATGCTGAAGCCTCTAGCAATGCTCATATCCGAATTGTTTCCCATCCACACGCTCCTATCTTTCACAGGCAGTCGCGTTCGTGTTGCAACCCTCAACCTCGCTTTGTTTCTCCTCGTGCTGATAACGCGAGACTCCTCGCGGGTGTGTCAGTTGACGGAGAACCAGCGGCAACAGGTGCAGGCAACCTTCATGGAATCCCACTTGCTGCTGCACAACCTCTACATGGTGAGCGCTTCCACTGCACTGTGGCTACAACTGCCTCTTACGTTTTGCCCGTAACCATGACCACACACTCAAATAACCGATAACACACCTTTCCACGCTGATGTAAGACGAGGTGGACCTCATGATGAGAACTTTTAATGTCTCAAGTTCTCTTCTCTCCGAATATACCCACTTGTATAGGTCGATGATGATGTTGACCTGCTGGATCGAGGTGGATTAACAGCTGCGGTTGTTAGTAGGTTGACGTGGCTGACTCACATGCTGAGTTGTGTGGTTAGGGGGATTGTGTAAGCTGTGACGATATCGTAACCCGCGATAAGCCGTCTTAGGGAATGCTGAATTCCAAAAACACCCCCACACCACTAAGGCGAACGAATTTAGTAGAGACACAATTTTGGTTATGGAGTGCACAGTGGTGTCTCGCATTTGCACGTAATACCTCTTAGCTTGTCGGCAGGGAATCGATGCTAAGAATGGTTTTACTTATACGCAGCCTAGAATTACTGATTTTTCTAAGCATACAAATAGGCCGCTCGCTTAAAGACACTCAATTCCGGCACAGATTTGGTTGATTCGGGCCTTGAATGTGTTCCCTTAGCCATCAGTTGTTGAGTGCCCCAGCAAGTGATCTTAAACCACGCCGGGGCCACGGAATTAACCCTGGCCCGATTACGCTTACCTGATACCCGCGATGAAGAAAAAGACCGGAGAGGACGGGACACAACCGTTTACTTCAGAGCTCAACCAAAACTGGTGTCGTTGTGTCGTGTGTGGGGTTCGCGCGTGTGTATTTATACCTCAGATGTGTGAGTCATACATGCGCTAACATCGCTACCTATGTGTGAGGATAATCTAAGATAAATAGTGTGAATGAGAGGGTAGTTGAGGATCCTCGCGACTGGCGACATGCTGCGAAAAGGAGAACCCTGTGTCGGAGGTGGAGCGACTGGATTAAGGGGTGTGAATAAACACGATTCACAACACAGTTAAACCATCGGGCTGCGCTTTAATTTTCAGACTGAGCCCGATTTCGGTGACATATTCGAGTATGAGGTGTGCCGATTCCGATCGCAGGGGCTTTCTCCTTCAACCCTTCTGGAAAACACCGCCTTCCTCTTCAATCACGTCACCGACGCCCTCAAGTTGTCCTCATATCAGTCAGAGGGGAACCTAACAGAGACCCACAAAACACCCGCGATGTCGCCTCAACACGGGGGCTCCCTCGGGGGGTCACCCTACGCCACATTGCCGTTCACGGAACTGGAGCACATCCAGCGCGCCGTGGCTGTCTTCCTTTGTCTCCACGGCTACCTCAGCACGTACATTTTTCCGGGGACGAATGGCGGGGGCGAGCCGCAGAACGAGGTCAAACCGCCCGCGTTGGAGCGTGTTTCTGCGCTCTCGTCGTTTGGCAACATACCCACAAGTGGGAAGGTCGTTGTATCTGTTTCGGACCCCATTGACATCGGTAGGTTTGACCCCGTCAGCAAACCACATTGCCATCGGTGAAGTAGTGCTCAAGTCCTTGTATACTAAACTATGGTGGCTCCCGTCGTTTTGAATTCCAAGAATAGTCCAACAATGACCATTTTTAATTATCACAACGTTCCCGCAAAATTAATTACCACAACGCTCCCGCCCGTAAATGTTTTTAATAATTTTGGCCACGACGCTATTTCGACCTCGAAACGTTCCCACATTTGCCACACCTATAAATTTTTACTGCCGGTTTTGATCGATGGTACATTTCCCGCCAAAACTATGATCTTATCTGGTACTTCATCCACTAATCACCACGTTTATTTGATTTCCTTTAGCGGCGCACCAGATCTTCAGTTGTGAAATTGAGCACGAAAGCGGGTATGTTCATTTCCTGTTTTTAATACAAGTATTAACTCTTACCTTCACAACCAATCGCGTTTGGCGAATGCCTAGGGTTGCGAATCGGTTATTGGCACCACTTTCAAATCGCTCTAACTCCTATTTGATTTTATCAAACTAGTGTGATACTTGTATCCGGTACACTTTGTCAACACAATCATGACATACTTTTTGCATAAAAGGCTGAGCTCCATGCGTTGTTTGTTAAATTTGGTTGGCATAAAAAGGCGGAACTCGCAGTACCCCTTAGTTGCCGCATTTAATTGCCTGGTGTTAACCTGATTTTTGACTTGAACGAGCCTATCTTTCTACTTCACATGTTTGTCTATTACTAAAATGATGCACTTTATACTAAAGACATCATTGAAGTGCACATAAGTTGGCGTTGAAGATGTGTACTTATTTCTGTTTATAAAAATTATCGCTAAACCGGTTCCGTGGTTGCCTGATGCCAAACAATGTTGTCTCCTTATTTTAAAACCCTTGTTATGATCATAGTAGCGGTTCATTGAGTTAATTTACGTTTGGTATCTTGACAACCCCTCGCCCAAACAGAGGCACATTAATGAGATTAGGGTGTGTTTTTTGGTAACTCGTCTGCCATTATTGTGTTCACTAGCAATTCGACCTGAACTTCATTTTTCCCATCGAAGCAAAATCCCATTAGCGAGGCCACTGGTCAAGCACTTTATGTAGTCGAACCGTTGTTTTTCAAACAACGGTGTGTACTAATTTTTATCAAGTAGATGTGTTGTAAATGTTTGGCGGTCTTTTCTCTCTGGTAACAGGTCAATGTACTCAAAACCTGCGCTAGAATCGAAGTTACTCTAAGCAGAAACTATTATTGCAGTAAGTAGAGTAAATAGTAAATGTCAAACTGTAATTTAACACAACAAATCCAGTCCCTTACTACTATTGGAGACTTTGAACAAAACCAACATAATCAAACAAAGGGTTACGCGGAAATAACAAGACAAACATTGCAGTTACTGAGTGGCGATATTGCTTCTCCCTTTGCTAGTGTTTCGCCCGTTCACTCTTTGCTCAAATCGACTAAGAAGCTGATGAAACTTCTGTAACATGCAATTCGGCGGTGTGGTGTTCACGCCGGGTTGTAAAAGGGTCCACAAAGCTCACAAAGAACGTGCAGTTAGTTGTGGTATTTCTTGTTTAGACGGACTGAGAAGCGCTATCTCATTATCAGCGATGTGCAGTTCATCCTGGTGGAACCAAGCCCCCGAAAAATCGGCTGGGGCACCGTGACGTTTGCTGGTCTTCTTCAGGTAGGCCGCATCCTTTCCTCGTCTTGATTACATCTTCGGTTTCTTTTTCCTCCAATATGCCCAACCTCCTGGATACTTGTGTGGTAGTCTAAGCCAGTGCAGCCTCCTGTTGCATTAATCGTCATTAGATTGGAGCGTATCTTGTTCACACTATCTGTATATTACTTTGTCCCAACATGTGATGTGCCTTCGGCTCTCGTACACAGAAGCAAGGTTCTCAAGCCTGCTCAATTTGTGCATATTCCCAAAACTATCAGATCTTCTGTGCTTTCGTCTGTTTCAGGACACTGTGCTCAAGATGGATGCAACGGATTGTCACAGTTTGAGTATTATTGTTTACAAACCCGGCGAGCGATCAGGCCTCACAATAGCGAGGATCATTACGGAAGCAGCGGGTACTAATTCGGTCAGCAGCCAAGTCCCCACGTCATCTCCGCCAAACGTCTTTCCCCTTATGAACGCGAAATTACGCTTCCAAAACGCCATCCAGTGCTCCACAATCTGTACATTGGTCACTCAACAGTCGGAGAGAATACGCGCCTCGAAGCAGGTGAAACTTAGGCGGTTCGTCTGCATTTTATGCTGTTATTCTAATGCAATTTTGTTTTAGCTAACGTAGACAGTGTAACGCACCTTTCCTTAGCTTATTGTTCCACCTCGTCATAGCCTACTAGTCATCTGCATTTCGTTTTTGCAGACTTCTTAATGTACAGGACAAACCCCAGCGCCCCCCAGTTCACGCCACTGTATTAGGCGCCAGCAGCGGGAACCGCGTGGAGGCCTTTGAACTGCGGCAGCCGAACCACCGCGCGGACTTGGATGATTTGAAGCGGACCCGGCTCCTCGACATGGCCTCTAGGCGGCTCAGGACCGGTGCGTTGCCGCCTACCAACGCCCTCAGGAGGACTCCGGCATCCTCCCCGGTTATCCTCGTTGCGCCTGTCAGCCCCTCTCTAAGTGCGTTCTAGCTTGTTTTTAAGGGCAGGATTTTGACATATGCATTTAACATCTGCCACAACATACACCTACGGCGTCCCGAACGTTGATTTTGATGACATAAGTAAAAATTATATGGCTCATGTAACCAGGTAAATTTGTAGTGGACATGTAACATATTCCGGTTGTCCGACAATGACAATTATCTCGGGAATCCCGTGTGTACATTAAAGGTACAGCACTAGACCCATCTCCGAAGGAGTCGGGGGACAAGTCCACAGTGAAAATTCAGGAGATACCCATGGTAGACCTTTCCCGGAAACAGACTACGGAAGCGTCCGCTGCAACCTCATCGGAGTAACTGCGCAAATGTACAGCCCAGTCACGTATCTATATTTCTGTAATTCTTACCTTCTCCCCCCCCCCCCATTATTTGGTTTTTGATGGTAATATAAATTGTTATTTCGCACATGGAATACGGTGCTT